GCTGCAATTTTCAAGTCAACCACTACAGGAAACGAACACGTCACGAACGAAACGACAGCAGGAGGAGGACGTGGCCGCAGGCACACGCACCCTCCCCCTGCTGAGCCAACCTACGAGCGGGCGAAGGGTTCAGGACGACTAGGGTAGGCCCTAAACCCGCTAAACCCCTAAACCAAACCCCAAGCCCTAAACCCCTAACCTCCCAAACTTGGGGGAATAGTTTCAGGTTTAAGATATATAAGCTTAGGGTGTTTAGCCTTCAGGGATGTAGGTCAGGAGATCTGGGTTTCGGGATTTCAGTTGAAAAGTGTCGTGTTGCAGTTGTGGGTACTCTTCACGGTTCATGCATGGCACCTGAAAGTTGTGGCTATGCTTTCTGGACACCGTTCTGCCGACGATCTGCCATCTTCACAAAACTGCAAAACTGACCTGTCGTGCATGCAGACTCAGACTGTGTAGCCTCAGCTGTCACGACGGAACAAAGCCCCACGTATGCTTTCAGCATACGTGCGAATGTGCTGTGGAGCGTCCGCGAGCCGTTGCATGTTGAAAGGAGCATGATGCCAACATCTTCTGGCACCAGAGCTGTTTCGCCGCCAGAAGCTTCGGCACACCAATCTGATTCTGTTCGCAAACCTGCACAGCGAACAGAAGACAGCGGACTGTGTGCAAGGTTTAGGGTTTAGGGTTTAGGGTTTAGCTTTAGGGTACGTTTCTGCAGCATAGAAGCGCTCCAGTTTGGAACACATACGGCACCATCGCGGCTCCGCAGCGTGAACATGCCCCCCATTTGAAACAACGAGGAGCCTAGCCACTGGACACATGCCAGGACTGGGCATGACGGTCAGGGGTTTAGGGTTCTTCCTGCGCAACATTTCCCTCTGCGGCTGAGCAGCCTTACGGCCGCCACGAGCTGGACGTGGTCCCGCACGAGGCTGCTCATCAGCATTCTCAATGAGATCATCCAAGTCCTGATGCAGAGTGGAGAAGCTATTGGCAATGCTAGAGCGGTACGATCGCATTCGGCTTCATGCACGGCTCAGACATGTTTTATTTCTACAGCTCTGCTGTCGAGTCTACCCTAGGGCGTGGCAGCACTCGGGGTCAGTGAACGTGACATTTCTCTGTCAGCATGAACAATGCCAACGAGTTGAAAATGATAATCCTCCAGCAATGCCTGTACGGCCATCCAGAACTCTTTCTGAAGAGCCGGGCGACTCAGATTGCTTTCTTCTTTTTTTAGCACAGCTACGGCCGAGCCTAGCGAGTCTCTAAGGTCCACTGCTGCCTCTCTCCAAAAAGAACCGCCAGCCAAGATGAGCTTCTCGCGAAAAGATTTCGCACAAGGGATCCTCATGATGCTTGGAAGTTCCACGGGGCGAAAACTTGCCTCCACGTCTACCATGACAGCATCATCCTCCTCTGGAGCATGACGTGCAGTGCTCAAGACAAAGAGAACAATCGCCAAGAGCTCGTGGCCAACCTCTTCGGACTGCTCTTGCTGGTAGCGCAGGACTCCGAACAAGCCTCTGGCAGCCTCGAAGACACGAGACCACGGCCCCTCCTGTGACAACTGCTGCTGTACCGCTATGGAGTCACCATGCAGACGTACCAAGCACTGCCGCAGAGCCATAGCAAGGCTAACGACATAGAAGCTTGAGATCTCCAAAGGCATGGCACGGAGACTGACAAGAGGTTCCAATTGGCTTTGAGCATAAGCAAAAGACTGCAAGACGAAGCAATGTCACGACACTGTAGTGGAGGTTTCACTTGCTGCAGCATGCCAGAGCAAAACAAACTTCACGTTTCAATACCGCCCCGGAAACCGCCCAACCGAACACTGTGCACAAGGTCCTGCTCTTGCCGGACACAGACGAAGGGAGAAGAGCTTGCAGTTGCATCCTCACTCTTGAGGTCTCAACAAACCTAAATTCCAAGCTCTAAATGTTGAAGTGTTGCCCTACTCCCCTCGATTATAAACATAAACATACATAAAACGTCTATTACTATCTCTGTACCTTTTTCTCTACATCTCTTACAGGAAAACAAGTTCGCTTTGTTTAACTTATTTCCTTGCAATGTCGCCATGCACCCGGCCCACCTGCATTGGGCTTCTACTCCCAGAAGCACGTGACACTGCGCCAGCGTGTAGACTATGTGGACTCCACTTTGACACAGTGGCAGCAGCAGCAGCATCCTGCAATTGTCTGGACACTTGCTCTTGCATCTACGTACCAGTCCCTTGCGACACCGGCTCCCGCTCCTCTGAATCGGAGCTGTCTGGAGCAGGTGTGTCAGGCGCCCAAGGTCGAGACCAATACCATGTCTTGTACCGGCGCGACCAAGGAGAATCGTCACGATGCGGTTTCTCTGGCATGCCGTTCTCAGCACAATGCAAAAGAAACGGCGCTGAAATCATACGGTCGTGTGGTTGAGGGTTTACTGCCGACAGAATCCAAATGCAACGATACCAAAGAAAGTTCTTACAGTAAGATTAGACCTCCATTTCCATACATAACATGATTATCTTGCTTTCTAGGGCTTCACTCAAATCTAAGCGAAGACTTCTAGGCAATACTTAACATGATTATCTTGCTTTCTACGGCTTCACTCAAATCTAAGCGAAGACCTCTAGGCAATACTTAACATGATTATCTTGCTTTCTACGGCTTCACTCAAATCTAAGCGAAGACTTCTAGGCAATACTTAACATGATTATCTTGCTTTCTAGGGCTTCACTCAAATGTAAGCGAAGACTTCTAGGCAATACTTAACATGATTATCTTGCTTTCTAGGGCTTCACTCAAATATAAGCGAAGACTTCTAGGCAATACTTAACATGATTATCTTGCTTTCTAGGGCTTGAATCAGGGCACTGTCGTGGCATGCTCCTCGAAATGCTGCAGCTCTCGGCCTCGAGGACTTTGCCACTCCACCGGACGTCGACGATGCCGCGGTGTCTCTCTCCCTGAACTAGCTTCCATGCTCTCATCGGCCGCAAGAGCGCTCAGCGGGGAGGAAGACGGACTTGCAACTTCGGCCGCTGCCTGCGAAAGAGAAACAACAAGTCTCACCCTAATAGCAAATAATCCGCTTCAAAAGGATTTGGCACACTTCACCGGACTGCGTCCACGAATGGCGGCCAGGGCACGTACAAGCTTCTTTCGGCCAGCGCGACGCTGTCTCTGCGTGTGAGCTCTCACTTCTTCGAAGTGAAGGCAACCCCCCCACCTGATGTGCCACCCTAGCTGACTCAGGTAAAACCCCTTTCCAAATCCTTTACAATCATGCGGGTGCGCGTTTGCACATCCGGGAAATGCGACCGCAACCAGTACGAGTACAAGTACAGCCAAAGGTCACACTTGAACAAAGGCTCTCCGTCTGCAAGACCTTGTTTGCTGCCGGCTGTGAGACTTTTCGGCAAAAAAGCTTTGATGTTGGACCACCGTTGATCGATAAGGCCCGTGTTGATCTGCAGCCTGCCGTGGGCGCGAGAGTTATGCTCCCGCGACCACTCGCCACGACTGTGCACGACGAACTGATGTCTCATGCCATGCTCTGCGGCGAGTTTGCCGTACAACTTGGCCCCGTCGCTGATCAGAAGGCTCTCAACTTTCCGTCCGCCACGCTGACAGGGAAGGATGCTTTTCAGGCCTTCCGTGTTCAAGACGTCCTCTCTGCATTCCACTGGACAGACACTGTTGGGCGAGACCTTCTTCACAGGGACCATGTAGACCAGCAATCTCGGCATGCTTGCAGACTTGGGTCTTTCAACAAGGCCCCAAAGTGCCACGAAGTGGTTGTGGCCACCCCGCTTGTACAGTCTAAGCGCCGTTCCATCCGCCTCAACGACACCGCGAAGTTTCATCGACTTCATGGCATTGTAGCCTGTCAAGGCCTCCCGCTCCAAGAGGAACCTGAAAAGCTTCCGCGACGTGCTGCAACGGCTGACTCCCACTCGCTGGCAAATGGACTGCAGATGTGGCTTCTCCATCTCGCAAGATGCGGTCAGGAATGCCACAACTTGAGGCAGAAGCCATCGACAGCGTACTTCGGGAAGCCAGGTGAAGCGCAAGCACGAGTAAGGTCTGCAGCAGCGGCTTCCTTGAAACCAGACATGCGCTGCTGAGCACTTGTTCTTCTCCAAAGCACCCGAGAGCTCCTTTGTGTCTGTGTCCCGAAGACGAAGCGCCGGCTTACAGACGCAGGCCTCTGAACAGACTGGACAAGCAAACTGCTTCATGGAGCCACGCTGGTTTCGCTTGACCCAACCCAGCTCCTTCAGCTGAGTCCAAGCACGAGACACGCGCGTCCTTTGCTTGGCTTCCTCCGTCTTCGTTTCGCATTTGGTTCTGCGCTTTGCAGTACGCCTCTGCTCGGCCCATTGCTTCTGTCGTTTGGACGTCACCCTCTTGCGTCGAGCACTAGAAACCGCACGAGTTCCACGATGGACTTGACGCATGGCTCGGGAAGCAGCCTTTTTCACGGCTTTCCGAGAACCATACCGCACATCAATGCCTTGGACCGCCAACTGCCTGCTCTTGTCACGCATCGCAGTAGCCACGGACTCGATGCTGTGTCTGTCTTGCACCTTTCGCAAAAGCTTCAGCGCAAGCTTCGGGCAGGCCCGTTGATTGTGTCCCAGCTCGCTGCAGAATTGGCATCGCTTGCGCTTCGGCATGGCTCCAACAAAGCTACTCGGTCACTACATCTCTGGCTGCAGCCTGTAAAATTACAGCAGCCGTTTCCTATGTTTCCTCACTCCTTACCACCTGCTGCACGTATTGCCCACCTGCAAAAGCACCCGGCCTCTAGCTCTGCTTCCGACCCGGACAAGCTCTGGACTTCCTCCACGCTTTGCACTTCTTCTTGTGACAGCAGGGAGTCTGAATGTCCACACTCATACTCCTGCCAAGGTATTTGCCCAAACTCTGCTATAAACTTTTACCACAAAGAAGAACACACCGCTGCCTCCTGCGACTTAATTGTTCAAAACTACGTTGGCCTCGTCAGTTGCTAGAGCAGCCCAATCAAGCTCATCTGAAAAGATGTCAAAAACTGCTGCTCTGCCGCACATTGTTGCACTGCCCAAGCCGGCTGTCGACGAAGAAGCTGGCCTGCCTTCTCCCCTTGGTGCCGGGATTGCAAGTTGACGAGGAGGAGCACG